CCGCCAGGCGTTCTATCGGGGAGCCTCTCCCGCCCCTCCCCCTCTATCCCCAGAGTTTGTGTAGGGTGGGTCATTTCGCACTTTCCGCTACCCTGGTTTCTGAGGGCTAAACTAGGGGTAGTGGTACTAGTCAGACAGTTAAAAAAAACCGAAAGTCACTTGAAGAAGTCAACACGGCCCCGCATTATACGGTAAGTCTAAGTCACCTGGTGTGGCCGCCTGCGGTCGCGCCCCGGGACAAAATTTGTTGATTGGAAATTGATGATTGCCCCCCACCGACTGTACGGGGCCCGGTTGAAATTCGGAAGTCCGACCGTACCGTCCGGCGGGCCACCGGGGTGACCGTGGCACCGTGACTGAGCCCCCAGCTGAGTCACTTGAATCAGTCAAGGGCCGATCCGCCATGATGATCGGTGCGGCCGGGCTGCTGAACCGGCGTGCGGCCCGGCGCCGCGGGCGGCCCCCCGCGGGGGGGCGGCGGTCCCGATTACCGTACGACACTCGGACTCCCGGAGCCAGGCCGCTTGGAGGCAGGCCCGGGGCGGCTCAGCGGCTCAGCCGTACGGTACTACGGTACCGTAGTACTAGCCCTGGCAGTGCTAGGCTTGAACTTTGAAACGGCGTACTAGTGACGGTCAGGGCCGGGTTCCGACGGTTACTGAGCCGGCCTCCCGCCGGGACCGTACCGGAGACGGCCGCATGTGCCGGCCGGCGTCGGCCCGCCCGGTGAGAGTCTCGCCGGACCGCTCCGAGTGACTGGCAGCCGCATCACGAGTCACGAGTCATCCGATCCAACCCCGGTGCCCGGTGCCACTCAGTGAACTTCGGAACTGGCGTTGAACCGACAGTGGCCGCCGGCTGGCGGCTGCAGTGCCCCGCCTACTTTGCCGCCGGGCCCCGCCCGGGCGGGCGCCGCTCAGTAACCTGACTCACCGTCTGACCGTACTCCGAGTGAGTCCGAGGCTCCGTCGGATGCCGCGCACTGCCTGTGGACGGGAAACGACCCGGGGCACCCGGAGGGACTGGCTGCGTTGAAGTCAGGCTCAATTTTCACCCTGTCACTCTAAATATGGTATATTGTAGCTGAATATTTGAACTTTTGACCGGTTTCATTTTCAAAATTTCACATCTAAGGATCCCACACTGTCTTCAAGGGGTAAGAGGGGGTAAGGGTGATAACCCCCACCCTAAATTTCAAATTACGACACCCATAGCTGTTCTACCATTCAAGTCAGGACCCCACCTCATTTCAAAGTACACCATTTTATAATGTTTATTACACCGGTATTGAGCATTATTCTGCAGACCCCTACCTACCAAGATTTACCCAAATGATAGCCCCCACCTACCCCAATAGTGTGACACCCTACCTTTGAAGCACCCACCCACTGTAGATCGGCCGCCGTTCACGCCATGCTGCGCGCCTCGATCGCTTGTTCGCTGTTGGCGTCCGCGACGTCGTTCCTCCTCCCCTCCTCCCCCTTCCCTGCCACCACCTCCTCCCTTCCCTCCTCCTGCACTTCCTTCTCGTCATCGACGCCGCTTCTACCTGGTCGCCATGTTCGCTCGGGCGCTGCCAAGTCGGCGATCCCTTCCCTCACCCCACGGGCTCGAGCAAGCAGCTCTTTGCTGGCGGTGAGGATGCAGGCGGACGGCCTGTGCAGAGTGGTAGTGACTGGCATGGGTATCAACTCCTGCCTCGGCAACACCCTCGATGACGTTACATCCTCTCTCAAAGAGGCTAAGAGCGGAATCCGCTTCAGACAGGACTTCGCAGACAACGGGCTCAAATCGCAGGTGTGCGGATGGCCCGAGCTCACAGAGGAGGAGATCAAGGAGAGGATTCCCCGCCAGACCCTCCGCTTCATGGGGCCTCACGCCAAGTACGCGTACCTGGCCCTTCAGGACGCCATCAACGACTCAGGGCTCAAGGAGTCGGAGTATCAGGGTAACCCCGACTTCGCCTCTATCCTCGGGCAGGGAGGAGCTTCAGTGCAGGACATGATGGAGACTGTGGAGGCGGTTCGTAGCCAGGCTCCCCGTTGGGCGAACAAGGTCGGTCCTTACAGGGTGACCCGATCTATGGGATCCTCGGTCTCTGCCATCCTCGCTACTGCGTTCAAGCTCCAGGGCCCCTCATTCTCCATCTCCTCCGCCTGCTCCACTGGAGCTCACTGCATCGGAGTCGGCATGGAGCAGGTGTGGGCAGAGGGCGCGTTGATGGTGGGGAGGCTAGAGGAGGAAGTGGGAGATGAGGTTTTGGCTGTCCCATGGGTTTCGATGGAGATACTGCATCTCGTTACCAGGTCATCTGACTTGTTTCTTGAACTCAGATCCAGCTGGGCAAAGCAAAGTTGGCTGCCTGCGGTGCCGGAGAGGCTGATGGCTGGGAGTTCACTGCCATGTTTGACTGCATGGGAGCACTTTCGAGCAAGTAAGCTCCTCCTCCTCCTCCTCCTCCTCCTCCACCTCCTCCTCCTGCCCCCCCCTCCTCCTCCTTCTTGCCCCACAAGCCCTTGTCCCTCCGCGCTCTTCCTCTCCTGTCCCTTCACCGTCCTGTTCTGTCTTTCACGCTTGGTACAGGTACAACGACTCCCCCAAAACGGCCTCGAGAGCCTTCGACAAGACTCGCGATGGATTCGTGATTGCTGGAGGAGGAGGAGTTCTGATCCTCGAAGAGTACGAACATGCCAAGGTCAGGATGAGATTCGGAGAGGGACGGGAAGAGGAGGAGAAAGGGGAGTCGAGAAGTTCATTTTAAGGAGGGGAGAGGGAGAGGGAGAGGGAGAGGGAGAGGGAGAGGGAGAGGGAGAGGGAGAGGGAGGGAGAGTCCGTGAGCAAGGGAGGGTGTGTGATGGATATGGTACAGGCTCGCGGAGCTAAGATCTATGCGGAGCTCACTGGATATGGTGCGAACTCTGACGGGTGAGGAGGAGGAGGAACAACGGGCTTTAGGTGACTTTTGGTGAAGGTACGACATGGTGGCTCCCTCAGGCTTCGGAGGAGAAGAGTGTATGAAGATTGCTCTCGGCATGGCGAACAAGGTAAGAGGAGCTGGGAGGGAGCTGGGAGGGAGCTGAGAGTATGTCAGGGTCCCCACGGGGAGAGAAAAGTTGACTACATCAACTGTCATGGAACTTCAACTCCAGTAGGAGACGCGATGGAGCTCGAGGCGATCAAGAGGGCCTTTGTCAAGGATCCATCCAGGTGCCTCCTCCCTCCCCTCTCCCTCCTACCTTCTCGTCCTCCCTACCTCCTTCCTCCTTCGTCCTCCTCCTTCCCGTCCCCTCCTCCTCCTCCTCCTCCTCCTCCTCCTCCTCCTCCTCCACCACCACCACCACCACCACCACCACCACTCTCCTCCTCCTCCTCCCTCCTCATCATCATCCTATTCCTCCTTTCTCTTGCCACCTCCTCCTTCCTTCGCGCACCTTCACCTCCGTCTGCTCACTGCCGAGCAGGGGATACTCTCCCTTCGTTGGGTCTACCAAGTCAATCTCCGGACACTCGCTCGGGTAGGAGGAGAGAGGAGAAGGTTGCGGGACATCTGACGTGCTGGGGTAGGGCTGCGGGTGTCCACGAGGCGATCTACTCGATCTTAATGATGCAGAATGACTTCTTGGCGGAGGTGAGGAGAAGAGAGGAGGGAGGGAGGAGGAGATGGAGGGGAGGATCAGTAACGTGTTCGATCAGTCTGCTCACATCAAGGATATCTGCGACGAGTCTGAGGGTCTCAATATCTTGAGGAAGAGATATGACGGCAAAGTGAGTGATGACGGAGATGATGACGATGGAGGAGGAGGAGGAGGAGGAGATGATGATGATGGAGCTGTTGGTGTTGCTGTTGGCGGTGGAAGCGTCAAGGATGATTCCTCTGACAACCTTTCAGGTCAACCGCGTAATGTCCAACAGCTTCGGCTTTGGTGGCACCAATGCCTGGTATGTCGATCCCCTCCCTCCCTCCCTCCCTCCCTCCCTCCCTCTCTCGTTCTACACAACTGGCTCTCCCACTCCCTCCCCCTCCCCCCTCCCCCCCCTGCCTTCGCGCTGTTTTTTTCTCTTCTCACTCAAGTTCCTCGCAGCCTTGTCTTCGACCGCGTCTAAAGGTCGTTGGGAATTTTCCTCTGCCCCTCGAGTTCTCTTCCTCCAGTCAAACTTTTCGCGCGGAGGTGAAAGACGTTGAAAGAAATGAATGTATTTACATCAAGAAACCCCCAAAGAATATTCTCAACCACTAACTGCATCCATGAAAAGCTTGCTCCTTCAGGTAGCAGGAAAAACCCTATTCCACTTACCGCCTCCTGCCTCTGCTCCACGTTCCCTCCCTCCCTCCCTCCCTCCCTCCCTCCCTCCCTCCCTCCCTCCCTCCCTCCGCCATGCATCATTCCGGTCAACCGCGCTAGAAGATGACAGCCGCGTCAGCTATGTTCCCATAGCTAGGGATCTTCCCCATCCTCCCCTTCGCCGCTGCCGCCTCCCCCTCCCTCAATCTCTCCACGTCCTCCAGCTCTGCCAGACACATCTCATACTCCTCCCGCGTCACGAAGAGGCGGAACCCGAGCATGCGCAGCGTCCTCCCCTCAAGCACGTTGAGCTCTGGCAGGCTCATCCCCCCGACGTCCGCCCACTGCTGGTTCGAGTAGTACTTGTCGTCGAGGAACTTGGAAGCCAGCATCACGGGGAGGAGGAAGAGCCGCTGAAAGTTCAGCCGCGTCAGCAGCAACCCAGGCAGAGCTTGCTTCATCCTCTGCAGGTAGATCACTGCGACTATGAAGCAGCACGGGCTGCAGCCGCCGTAGTCAGCGATCCTCCTCACGTAACCCTCGGCTGTGATGGGGGGAGGCTCGCTCCCCTCGAACACCAGCAGCTCCTTCTCGGTACACTCCTGATCATCCTTGCTCAGGGCCTTGTTCAGAAGCTCTCCCATCAGCATGACGATCCGTTCCTGCCTCTCCACGTCCTGCCTCATGGCCTCCAGCAGCTCCAAGAAGCTCAAGTCGTCCCGGTTCAGGTAGGAGCAAGAGGAGGCGACGTTGAGTTTCCTCACTGTAGGCGGCGATTCACCTGCTGTACACTCGAGCGCCGCCCTCTTCCGAGACCGCCCGTTGCCGTCATAGCGGCTCACATGCCCCGCTTGCTTGCCTAACTCCTCCTCTCCCTCGCTTGCTTCCGCCTCCTCCTGCGCCAGCACTGACAAGGACGGCATGCCGATACCTGTGCCAACAGCGTCAACCCGAGTTGCTGTCAACCGCTTCTCCCCGCCATGAGCATTCATTGACTTGATCACTCCTGCTATGCACTCATCTCCTCTGTTCTGCTCTCCTCTGCTCTCCTCTCCAACTCTCCTCTGCTCTCCTCTGCCCCTGCTTCTCCTTCTGCATCCTTCGCCTCCTCCCTCCCTCGTGCCCTTCTCAGCATTCTTATCTTTTGAGCCTTATGCAAGTGCCTTCTCGCTTAATTTAAGCCTCATATCGTCTAATTCTCTGAATTTAACCTAAAAGTACCTTAAATTTAACTAGAAGAGTCTTAAAATCGGAATTCACACGTCCCCCATTATCTTGCAGGGTAGAAATGGGGGTACCATGAAATGATTTGTACCCAAGTAGGGGTACTTTTGAGATGATTTATGTGGGAAAATAGGGGGTACTTTGAGGGAAGGCACCAACGGAGGGGGTGCTCTCAGATACAGGGAGGCTGAAGAGTTCTTCGAAGGGACGCTGGGATGGGGGGTAGGGGTGGTACATGTTGAGGTGGCAGGTCGAATTGATGGCTGGAGGGTGGGTGATAGGAACTATAAAGTAGGGGTACTAAGACCTTCTAATCCTTCAAAGGGGGTGTAGTAAGCAGTATAGGGGGTGGTGTAATCGTTACAGGATCGTGGGTCTCAACACTACCCCCACCCCATTACGTCGTCACATGTACGATTGAGTACCCCTCATATTTAGCTTCTTTTAAGGTAAATTTACCCCTACCATTCAAATATCACCCACCCCAATTTCCTAGATCCTCCAACACCTCATCATGACCCACCCCACTTATTCCCAGTCAAAACTACCGGTACTCAGTTGACAAAACAGATCGCCCGAGGTGCCGGGGCCTTGTAACGGCCCGGGCCCGGATGACTGAGACCACGATTACTTCTGGCCTCCTATTTATTTGTGCTGCCTTATTTCCATGCCTATTGATGAATTCTGGGGCGGACTTGATACCGAATAAAATTTTCTTTTGCCATGGCGGGGCGTTTTCTCGTAGTAACGATGCTCGCCATGGCTGAATGCTTCGCTCCTCCTCCTCCTTCCCTTCCATCGTCTCTCTCCTCCTGCTTCTATTCTCGGCATGCTCGTCCCTCAGGCGTGTCCTCAAGTTCTTCCTTCTCCCTCCTACCCTCCTTTTCACGCAAGGCCTCGGGGCCGCAGCACCGAGCACAACCTGCTAGGGGGAAGGTGTGTCGACTCCTTGACTGCTGCCCCTCCCCTCCTCCTCTGACTTCCCTCCAGTGCGCCGTGAGCATGCGAGATAGAGATGAGCACATGATGGGAGGACAAGTCATACGAATGAGCATGGCCTGCCCGTGTTGTAGGCGAGCGGGCGAGATGGCGCGTCGCAGTCCGACTCTGCTGCTCTCCTCCAAGGAGGACGGACCTCAGACGTCAGAGGATCCTCAGACATCAGAAGTAGGTCGCTTCAACTCCTAGCACGAGGTGGTGATGGAAGTCTCCTGCAGGAGCCGGACAAGCTTTCCTTATGGCTGATCTCTGTGCTACGGTGAAAGGTCCCCGCTCCTGACCTCACTAGCTCATGCTACAGCAGTTCTTACAAGGCATTCATCTCTCCTCTCCTTCCTCCTGCGTAAGAGCAGCCCCTTGTCTCCACCCTCGAGGGCCTCACTCTGCTGAAGCTGCAGGTTCCTTCCGACGTGTAGCGAGTACTCCATGCAAGCTATCTCTGAGTTGGGACCTTCCAAGGGTATGCTCCCTCCTCCTCTCTCTACCTCCCTTACAATCCTGCTTGCCTCACAGAGGGAGGGAGAGAGAAGAGGAGGGAGAGGAGGCAGGCAGGATTGTTCCTCTCACTCCTCTTCTCTCTCCCTGCCTCATTTCTCAATCCCTAGCTTCCTCCTCTGCTTCCATCTTCTCTGCTTTGCTCACCTCCCCTACTTCCGTCCGTTCCTCTCTTCCTCCCGACTCGCATCAGCTGAACGAGCACACCAGGGTTGGTTCTCACAGCCTGGAGGCTCATCCGCTGTAACCCGATGCACTGGGGTCTTGCTTGCGCTTGCTGTTCTCGTCATGTGATGTTTCGAACAGGAGGAGGAGGGCGGGGCTACGACCCTCCCAGGTGGCCGCCAGTGCCGTACAACTATCACTGGCCATGAGCGAGAAGAGGAGAGAAGGAGGGGGAAGCAGAGGCTGAGAGGAAGTGACAACGACCCAGACGTTTACAAGGGGCTGAGGTGAGAGTCCGAGGAATGGTAGAAAAGGGGCGGAGGGGCAAGGAGCACCAGCACCAGCACCAGCACCAGCACCAGCACCAGCACCAGCACCAGCACCAGCACCAGCAGCGTGAGTGCATGCGTAGTCCGCTCCTTCTTTACTTTCTCCCGCACCCGAGGAGAGCTGATACCTGTTCGATAAGCTTCATCTGCTTTACTTGATTACATTCACACGGTCTTGGCAAAATTTACACTAGGAAGAATAAACGAGGTTTCGACGCAAGTGACTGGCTGCTGCTACGACTTGCCGGGCGGTTGCGTTGGGTCGGGCGGTTTTCTCCCTCCTCTCGGTGTACCTGCCACTAAAGCATCAGGGCTCCCGCATCTTCTCTCCTCCTCCTGACCTCTCCCTCTCGGCGAACGGCCGGTGCCGCCGCCAGCGGCGCTTGCGCTGTCAGAGGAGGTGGCAGTGAAGGAGCTGCAGAAAAGTCAGAGGGGTCAGACCTCCTGCCTCCTCTTACCTCTTGACGGAACCAGCGTCACTCATCGCACCGGAAGGTTGATCTGAGAACAAAAATGAGGAGGAGGACCAGGGAAGTGACGATAGTGGGGAAGTGACGATAGTGTTGTTGTTGTTGTTGATGTTTTTGATGTTGTTGTTGTTGTTGTTGTTGATGATGATGATGATGTTGTTGTTGTTGTTGTTGTTGTTGACGATGATGATTATGATGATGGCAGAGTAAGAGGGAAACGATGGGGAAGGGACGGGGGGGAGGGGGAAGTCTCACCGTCATTGGCAAGCTTCAGCCACTTGTTCGTGGCAGCACTAACGCTCATCAAGACTGACAGGCCGGTCCTGCAACAAGGTCAGGAGGGAGGAGGAGGAGCCTTGCGAGCCTACTTTGACTTCTTCTCGCTGCTGTGGATGGCGTTCTGAAGCTCCTGCATCAGAACCGCCATCACCAGGTTCAGCAGGATGAAGTTGGACGCTGTCAGGAAGAAGGTGAAGAGGACGTTGGCCAGGAACGCGTCGCCGCAGGTGGAGGGACACTGCCCGAAGCTGTCGGGGTGGGCGCACGAGATCACGTCCCCCAAGTCGGAGATCTCCCCTGCCGTTGTGCAGCCGGGGAGACTGTCCCGGGCGCGGATCAGGTAGTCCTCATTCCCTGTCGAGTTGTACAGCCGGAGGTTCTCCATCGCGACCGCGGTCGCCTGCGCGCGAGTCAGGTGGTGGTCAGTTGGGTACGTCGGTCAAACTCACGTTGGCTCCGTTAGGTCTAGAGCCAGGGGCGAGAGAGACTGACTGCATGACCTCGGACCAGTTGTCGGTGGTGCAGATGCGGAAGAGAGTCTGCGGGCAGCAGGTGAGAGGAGGGAGACGCTTGCGGAGGGGTTGAGGGTTCACACCAGGAGCGCCATCCCGAGGTTCTCAAAGGTGGCATGGAAGTCGATCAGGTCGGAGGGGTCGACGAGGATGCAGCGATCGAACTTGTACGGGTCCCGCGCGTTGGTCAGGGAGAAGTTCTGCACGAGGCGTCAGATGCCCGGCTCTGATCCTCCTCCTCCTCCTCCCCCCCCCCTCTCCTCCTCCCTCCCTCCTTTGCACGCACATCCAGGCACATGCTTCCAAACATCTCGACTGAGAGCACGCCGAGCACGAAGAAGAGCAGGATGAGCAGAGCTGCGAGGTTGCCGACGGCCGTGATGGAGCGCAACAGAGTCCTGACAAGGTTCTGAAGGCCCTGCGGCAGCGTCAGCCGACTTCCAACCCTTCCTCCCACCAGCACCTGCGCCGCTTTAAAAATCCGAAAAGCTCGGAGGATCCTGAAAATCCTGATGACCCTGAGGACTCTGAGGATGGTGGGGTTGAGCGCCAGACTCTGGCCGATGTTCTCAGTGGTGATCCCGATGAAGGATATCATGACCTGCAAGCTCGTCACCGGCAGCATCGACTGGCGCCGAGTTGCTACTCACCACGGTGAAGTCGAACCTGTTCCACCTAGAGGAGAAGTACTGCTTCGGGTACATGCCCCACTTCTTGGCTATCACCTCCATTCCAAACACCAAGTTGAACATGTAGTCCAGCGATGTCAGGACAGAATCTTGATAGGCCGAGCTCTTGTAGCTCTGCGCAGACATGGCGAAGACGTTGGTGACGATGAAGAAAGCGATGATCAGGTCGAACTGTTTTGTCGTCACCACCGTGAAGAACTTGTTGCGCCATGGGTGGAGCGGCTCCGACATCCCACTAACGCTCGTCACCGAGCTGGCCTCGGAGGCGAAGGAGTTCTTGCGGGACAGGATCTTCGCCTCTGACGTGACAGTCTGGAACGTGTCGATGAAGACACCGACGAAGAGCTGGATCACGAAGAAGCTGCCGATGACCATGAAGATGATGAAGTAGATCGCCATGAAGATGTTGCTGTATGCGTACGGCCCGTGCGTCTTGTCCGTCGCGTCCATGGCGGAGAACATCTGTATCTCCCAGTTGTCCTGCGACGCCGTGATGAACATGGATAGGGTAGCGGAGCCGATCCAGTTGTACTGGATCAGCCTCCCCATCCACACCCTCGGCTGCTGCGTTACAGGGTCAAACCCATGGCACTCGTCCATCGACTGGACGAACACGTCGGTGCAGTAGTTCATCCGCCCGCCCAGCAGCTGGACTGACATCACCCCGAAGACGAAGAAGGCGCAGAGTGCGATGGCGACCGTGTTGAGCACGGGGACGACGGCCCGTCCGAGGGTGCCGAGGACGATCTTGAGACCTTTGGACCTGCTCAGGATGCGGAGAGGTCGGAGAGCGCGGAAGGCTCTGAAGTTCTTGAAGAACCCGACGGCGCTCTTGCCGGCTCCTGTCATGCCTGCGGCCCCAGAGATGATGTCGATGAGGGCGATGATGACGAGGAAGAAGTCGAGCTTGTTCCAGCGGCTCTTGATGTACTTCCACCACGTGTAGGTGTTGATCTTCCAGATCGCCTCGATGACAAACACCGAGCTGCACACCAGGTTGAGGTTGAACCCGATCTCTGACTCGATCGGCGAGATGCTCGGGCGCTGCAGCACGAGAGGAATACAGCTGGCAACGATGACGAGGATGATGAAACCGTTCCAGTACCTGTTCTCGATCACCTTCCTCATGAAAGGCAAGTCCTTCCAGTTCTCCATCTCAGCCTCGGACTGGACCTCTGAGCCGAACGCTTTGCTCTTGGACGAGTCGTTCGCCAAGTTCTTGATGTCTGCTGCAGTGATCTTCTTGTCCTTGAAGATCTTGACTCGGATCCACTTCTTCAGGCCATCGAGACATCCTCGTCCTCCCCCACCTCCCACAGAGCTGATGGAACCGCCTCTGCCCAGCGACGTGCCCGATTTGAGCCTAGAGTTGTTGCTTGCGAGGGACTGGTTCCTTGAGATGGACTGTCGGCTGTACGAGGAGGCGAGCGACTGTCCGCGGGATAGGGTCGAGCTTTTCCTCAGCCTGTCAGCTTCGCGCATGGCTTGATTTTCCTTCTCCTCTTTCAATATCAAGGCTCTTGTTTCAGAGAAACCGGTGATGATGATGGCAACGAACAAGTTGAAGAGCATGTAGTTTCCAATGACAGTGAGGGCGATGAAGTAGAAAACATACCACACGCTGGTTGACCGCAAAGCTGGGTACATGCAATCTCCGATATCAGAAGTCGTCAGGAGTTGAAAGACAGTCAAGCACGCGAAGTAGAAAGAATCGAAGGAGTTGCGGGGAGCGAGTCCGATGATGAGGGTCTCACTGATGGTGGAGGAGACTTCAGCAAGCTGGGAGGGGCTCGTGTCCACCGCCTGCGAGATGAACTCGATGTTGTTGGGGTCCATCCAGTGTTGGATCTGGTAAGGCTTCGGCAGAGTCCAGTTGTAGTTGAGTAGACGGGCGGTCCGGATTGTCGCGTCGTTGGGGACGATGACGCGGACGTAGGCGCCGGGCCTGAAGTATGGCAGATTGTCCGTGTCTGCCACTGACAACTCAGCGAGTGACAGACCGCCAAAAAGGTTCATTCCCAAGATGGCGAAGATCAAGATGAACAACGTCATGAGGGCGATCAGGCTCGAGACTGTGCTGATAGTCTTGGTGATCACCTTCATCTGCCTCTGAATCTGCGGGAAAATCTTGACGAGCTTGCCGATCCTAAGGATCCTCACTAGCCGGAAGGCACGCAGAACAGACATCCCATTGGAAGTCTTTTCGCAAACGCTGGCGTCAATGGCAGTTTGGTAGCATTCAAGTTGCTGCACACTTGCAGGCAATTCAATGACGCTTGTGATGACGATGATGCAATCGAACACGTTGCTCGTCTCCTTGAGGTAAGCGACGGGTCCCAACCCAGTCACTTTCACAATCATCTCGAACAAGAACCAAGAGGTGAAGAACGTGTTTGCGATGTCCAGATCCTCCTTAAAAGTTCGGCAGTAAGCCTGAGTGTCATAGTTGCAATTGTGATCTGCGGCCATTGCAATGATGTTGAGCATGATAACAAGCATGGTGGTCCAGGTCAGCAAGTCTGACTCAGCCAACACGAGGCAGTAAAATCTGACCCAACCAAACAGAGTTCTCTCCTCATCTTCGAGGTCATCCTGAGCCACACTCTGTCAATCGACGTCATCGTGAACAAGCAGGACTCACCTCGTCGTTCAAGTCTTCCTCCTCGATGTCCTCCGGCAAAGGCGACCATTCATCCGCATCTGTCCTCCGCCACTGCGTCCTGATCCGGATCCCGCCTTCCACAGAAGTTCCATCAGCCTGCTCAAGTTCATACCATCTGTCTGTTCCTTCCTCGTTGTCGTCGAGTGTTCCTACAGGAATATGAACTTTGCCCAGCAATTCGTGCTGCCCGTATCGCTGCCAATTGTACATGTGAACATGAGCCACAGTGGTGGCGACCGATATGGGGAAGACGTAGTATTCATGCCAGACGGGAACGATGGTGTTGTTCACCACCTTGGTCTTCTTCCACTTATCATCGACCTGTGCACATGTATCAGGCCGAATGCGGTGAGACAACAAGAGAGGAGGAGGACCTTCACTTTGATGTAAGCATCTAAGACACCATCTTGCTTTGCGATGGTTGCACAGACAAAGCCAATCTTGAGCTCATAAAGCTGGACAGCACTTCTCTCCGCCTGATGTGCAACATCACTATGGTTACCCTAGAATACAAGCGATTATTCTTACCTCGACTTGTGCCGCTTTTGCGTCTGCGTACTTGCTCGCGACGACGACTAGAAAAAGCTGAATCGCAAACATGGGTCCAACAAGATCCAATGTCACAAAATATATCCACGTCCAAAACGAAAAGGAATCCCAAGTCCAGTACATATGTGTGGTCCAATTTTGCTGAACCATGACATGAAAAATCATAAACATCGTGTTGCCAATCGTATCGAACGACAGTATTCCAAATCTTGGATTAGAATATATTTGGAGGCAATGTTCATTTGCAGGGCAAACCACCATTCCCGAGCCGTTGCTGCATATGTTGGCCTCGTTAGGATCCGCAAGCCCTGTATCGATGTCGTAGCAATGCCCTCGTAAGATGCCTCCCCATAGCTGAATCCCCAAGATACCAAAGATGAAGATTATGAACGAGATCAACCCAAAGACATTTGCAAGCATGGGTATACAGCCGATAAGGAGTTCTACCAGCATCCTCAGTTCCTTAAATCGCCCGATCGCTCTCAGCGCGCGCAATGGACGCAGAAGACGGAAAGTCCTCAAAATCACAGACTGCGAGCCAGCAGCTGTTGCTGGCAAAAACTCAAAAGCTCCTGTCACGACGATGAAAAAATCCAAACAATTCCATCCGTCTCTAAGGTACGTGCCCCGTCCACGGATGAATCCAAAGGCAGTTATTTTGATACATGCTTCAGTCACAAAGACGCACCAGAAAAAAATAGAGAATTTGTAGTGCATGACATTCGAGTAGGAGTTAGAATCAACATTGTTCGGGTCTTGAGTCGCCATGCTGACACAGTTCGCTGCAATCACTACCATGATCAACCTGTCGAACCACTTCCACTCCACAAGATCGCAAGCTTTTCTTCTCATGGGGTTCTCAAGGGTGAGACAGGACAAAGACCTGTTCGTGTACCATCTCGCCCTCCATTTGAGGAGCTCGAGATCCGATTCGTCGTAATCATCGTCGTCATGGCCAAGGTTTCTCTGGATAGGCACTAGTCATTCAAACGATAGCTTGAAGTCGTCCTTACCTCTTGAATCTCTTCAACATCGTCTCCCTTAAATGTTGCGATCAACGTTGTTGTTACCGTGTGATCCTGCTTTCGTAGTTTTCCAACCAAAATGTTCTCATCATCCTCATCATGAATCTGAGCAACCTCCTCGGTGACTAGCGTGGAGTTTTCCTTTTCAAAATCCTCCGACATTTGATCAAATTGTTCAGATTTTGGAACCTCCAGATCTCTGTGGACAAGACCTTCGTCTGCAGGCTCTTCATCTTCATGATCGTCGCCTCCGGGAATTTCGAAGGGATGAACAATTTTGCCTTCTCCGTTATCATCCTTACCTATAACCTTTTCTGTAACACCAGAACCATTTTCTCTCGATGGAATGATTTCCATCTCCTCTTGACTTGCTGCGTCTTCCGATATCTCATTTTCATCATTCAACAAAGTTGCTTTGTGCCTGCCTGAGCGATTTCTGTTTTGGTTTTTTGAAACGATTGTATCAGGAGTGACAAAATTACTGCTTTCCTCGTTCCATCCATGCGATATTGATCCAGAGGACTGTTCAATTTCCTCCAACCACGTCTTCTGGGATCCTTGTGGCAGCTTGTCATTCTCTTTCCGCTTTTGATCCAACCTAGACAAAAAAACGATCTCGTTCAATTCCAAGGTGAGAACGCTATGTACAGGGTGCGTTACTACCTTGTTATAATACCATCATCATTTCGAATCTGCAGGTATCCGAGTGTCAGTTGAAAGAGAAATCATCATAAAGCGCTCACAATCTCTTGACCATTGTGCTTTCGAGAGTGGATCACTTCTACGTGGTTAAAATTCAGTCAGGAAACCATCGAACAAGCAACCCAGAGGTTAAGGGGTGTACCGGTGTCGTCAGAGGTGTAGCTCGTGCTTCTCTTTAAGTCATCAACAAGAAAACCTTGCGGAGGTTGCTGAGAGACAGAAGCAGAAACTTTTGCCAGAGCATCATAATCTCCACTCTGCCATGGAATCAGAGATGCAGATCACAAGGAGCCTGCTGCAAACTACCTGCAGCGCCTCAAGCGCAAGTCTCATGGGCATGTCAGATATCTCCGCACTCTGCAAGGCAAATTGATCCTTAGAAAGAAGGTGAGTGCAAGGCAAGAAGATGTGTTTACAATTACTGGCATCTCTGAACTCTTCGTGCTGCCGGTGCTGCCGGTGCTGCCGGTGCTGCCTGTTTCAGACTCGTTTCTTTGTGTATCGATGGGAGCCGACAACGGTTCTGTTCCCACTTTGGCACTTGCTTGACCTCCCTGCCCCTCCCCGTTACGAGGATGCAAAGACGAGTTGGAGCCATTCGATCCATCTGCAACAGTCTCTGGGAACACCCGAACTCGTGAAGAGAGTATCGTGGATTTCTTCTTCGCTTTCTTTTCACTAGTTTCAGCCTGCCGTTCCATGACGGGAGGTATGTAGTTTGGTACTACTTTGCTCGCATCAGCGTCAAAATCTCCTCAATATTTGGATCTCATCTGGTTGAGATCAACTCAAGGTTCTAAGAGGCTCTTTCCTGCTAGCCTGCCATATCACAATTTACCAACGGAAAACAGGCACGACTTCTCATCGATAGACAGCAAACTTTCGTTCTCAGCATAGCACTCGATAGAATTTTAGGAACAATCGCATAAATCCATTGGACTTATTCTCAACACTATGCGGAAATAATTGGCTTCACACGAATCGAATACAACGGCAATGCATGCATTTTAAAGTAATCGAGCATCGTAAAAACAAACATGCGGACAGAGAAGCAAGGGAGCTTTCTTGATTCACAGGACAGGGATACCTGATGGACTGTCATGATCGCTATCGCTGCGTGTGCTGATGAATACTGCCATTCCTCCTTCCTCGCAGCTTCAGCCATGCGCTGATCAGCGATAGACCATTCCCCCAAACCCTTTCTTCAACCACCCCCACCCCCCTATCTCTCTCACCCTGTGGTCTCCACCCCTATGGCAACCTCTCAGTACCCCCCCATCTACTCGTACCTTTATCAATACACAACCCCTTCAGTGCGCCTTCTTCCGAATACCCCCCACAAATAGCCATTGCATCACCCCTAGGGTAGTATATTCACCTGAGATCTAGTCTACAGCAGGGGTGTCATCACCACCCCCACCCATTAGATATCTCTTAATCTTCTTCCTTCTTCTACGACACCGCTACTTGTCCCTACCACCACCCCATCTGCTGGTAGTGTACCCCACCCCACAATCATCCCGACCTACTACCCCGGGAAGTCCCAAACAAGTCCCATGTCGTGACCGGATTCGCCTGCCCCCATCTAGACCACCCCCTGGAATCTTTGCAGATTGATTGCTACCCTACCCCCACACTGTGTCACCCACCCTTGTTGAACCCATACCACGGCACCCACCCACAGCCAGGCGTCAGACCCAGCAGAGGATCCCTCATATTTCACACACTCCACACCGGTAGTAACAGGTGATCAGGACGTACAACCGGTGATAGTAAAGCTGAGAGGACCCTGGGTTCCTCTACCTGGGTGTTGTAGGAAGGGGTGGTACAGCATGGGAAGTTCACATTAATGTAGAACGGGTGGGGTGGTATGAGTCGGCCAAGGGGTCATGAGCCTACTTGGAGAGGGGGATCTATGGGGTGGGGTTGTTTGAGGTCAACAGCCGTTGGGTCGTGCGAATCTGCAGGTAGGGATGTAGAGTGAAGCCTGAAAAAAACTGGGGGTAGGGTAGGCAGTCCACGGTCAAACAGACAGGGTGGGGTAGTTCTGATATGATTAGAAGGCGGGCTGGCCTCAGCAGGACCTGAGGACTGGTAGTTGTCGTAGGCTCGGGTACCGGTAGTGGCTGGAGTATTACCGGTCAAACTACCCCTGGTCATCTAGCTCCTCCCGGCAGACAGACCGTACCACCCCGACCCCCTGGGGTAAATCACCCCTACCCCACCCTATTGCTATGTGCACACTACCAAGTTTACTGGGGACCCGACGTGCTTCATATCTCCAGGTCAGCGTACTGTTTCAACTCTAAAGTGACCAGGGGTTACGGTACTTTGTTACAATGAGCACCAGGGGTGGGGGTCATTACCCCTACCGATCTCCAATCTAACAACTTACTTACTGACGGGTAATGACCGGTGGGTACAACAGAGGCTGCCAGTTTTCGGGTATGGTACGGTAGGGGTGGGGTGATCAGGTACCAGCTCCCTACGGTACTACGAGATCTTCACAAGAAATTTTTACATAGTTTTAGAGTGGTACTAAGTCATACCAGAAACGCTGCCGAAAAAGATATCAGTACTGAATTAATAACATATATGAAAGATAATAGTACAGATGATTTCGGTATATATAAAAGTTTAGTAAAAAATCAACTTTGCAACTTCGGAACCCGGCCCGGGCAGCCTCAGTGGCCGCCGGACTCGGAGGTCCCGTCGGAGTTTCTCGCAGTAGGCTACCTGGCCGGGCCGGCTGAGTCTGGGCTCGACACCGTGAAAGGCGGCAACATTCCGAGTTTGAGATGCTTCTTTGCCGAGAAACAACTCGTGACTGAGGTGCCGTTATGAAGACGGGTTGACAAGGGTCACTGACTCACAGTGATCCGAAGCATCTCTAGACAAACTTCACACAAAAACAAGTATTTACACTGTAAAGCTAGAGTTGTCCTGCAATCCTCCATACAATTCCGTTGCTCTGTATGATCCGCAGCTTCGAGTTTGGTAACATCAGGACGATCGAAGTAAGTACGGTAGCATCATGCTTTGTTGTCATGGAAGACCCAACGACTTACATCCTCCGTCAGCGAGCAGCCACAGCAAAACAGCGACTCACGTCTTCTTGGGCGAGGAGCTGCACGTCCTGACATAGTTGTCATTGTCCTCAGGAGGTCGCTTTGCTTCTGCACTCGACAGCATGGAAAGGATACTCAGGCAAACTGATTCGACCTGAGGGAATTCGTCATGATATCCTCCGGTTTGCAATCATGAGCACCTTCAGCGCCGGAGACCAGCCGCCATCGTAAAGAATTGAGAGACAGATATGGCCGTTGCTAGGGGAGCAGGAGTTTCACCGCTGCTCCGAGCCATCAGGTTAGAGAGTTACCTGTAAATATGGGGATGGATAGGAGCTGGATGTAGGAAAACGACTTCTGGGGCTTCGATGGGGTACTCAGGAGGGAAAACGAATTGCAGTCTGCGCTTGAGTGAAATATCTCCAAACAGAGCTGTTGCTCATCGACCTGAAAACTTCGCCATGATAGAATGTGCCTTCTGCTCCACGGATCTTCACAACCCACCGCTGGGTGCAAGTCAGGTCCCAGTACATCCCATCGAGACACTTCACCGTGCTCCCTGCTGCTCCTTCCTCAACGTGGAAGATCCCGCCAGTGATGAGATCCGCCAGTTCTGTAAATGGATGCCTGTCAGTCGCCGACTTCATGCTCGACCCGTCCTGTGTTACCTCGCTGCAACCTTCGACAGTTCCTTGCAGCAACCTCCAGTGGACCGGGTTAGAGGAAATTCCACCAAGAATCGCAGGATACCTGTGATGGGTTGCTTCCAGATGAAGATTGCATGTCGTAGGCTGAGCCAGCACTGATCAAGCTACCCAGATTCATCACATAAGGGGTCACTTTTCCACTAACACCACCCATCGCATGACCTTTCCCTCATACCTTGCTGCTAAGAACATCCCCTGTCCTATATCCCCTGTCCTATATCCCCTCATATTCCCTTTCCTAATGGTTCACTCTGTCCGCTTCACATATTCCTAGAGCACCTGCCTATGCTTGTGCCGCGCCAGTTCTCGACCCTGCCATTTGCTCGTTGCTTGTTGACCCTGCGCTGTTTCTACTGTTTGATCTGCTTCTTCTGCCCCTCCTCCTGACGGCTGCTGCTACTAACAATGATGGCTGGCCTCTTCCTTCTGACCCTGAGTCGGCTGCAACTGTTCTGATGCTGTTGCATCTTACCCTGCTGCTTGACATATCACTGCTCCCTTTGACTCTGCTGCTGCCTCTGCGACTGTTGCTGTCCAAGTCCCTCTGCTTCTAATGCCCCCCCTCTTGATCCTGCATCTGATCCTTCCAACTCTGATGCCGCCGCCGCCGCCGCCGCCGTCACCACCACCACCACCACCTCTCCTCGTTCTCGTTTTCCCACCTTGTTCCCCCTCCTGTCTCTGCTGCTGCTGCTGCTGCTGCTGCTGCTGCTGCTGCAGCTCCTCTTCCTGCCCCCTTTCAACCTCCCGTCTCTGCTCATTCTTCTCCTCTTCTTGCCCTCTTTCCTCCTGCTGCCTCTGCTGCTCGTCTGACTGCTGCTCGAGCAACCGCATTGCTGGCTGTGGCAGACCGAAAGCATTGAAGTTTTAAAAGTTGAATTTATGAATTATAACATTTACAGTACTCTTCTTTTTGGGGAATTTACAAAGGTAATTAAGTAACTATTTAGTACTTATTTTATATTTCTATCAGGGATGAATCATTTTAATTTTTGTAATATATATATTTACCTATAGAAAATTTTAAATATCACAGTACACTCAGTTTTTCCAAGCACAAAGATACGAGTCGCAATGAAGATCTGCTAGTGCAGAAGAAACGAAGAGAGGAGAGAGGAGGAAGAGAGGAAGAGAGTAGAGGAGGGTTAAGTAGAGGAGATGACAGGAGAGGAGATGACAGGAGAGGAGATGACAGGAGGGAAGGGAAGTGAAGGGAAGGTGAGAACAGGGTTGAAGTGAGGAGGTTCAGTTAGTGCATAGCAAGACAGTGCAGGAGAACGGAGGTGGGGAGATGAGGCGGACAACAGAACAGGAGAGAGGGGATAAGACAAAATACCTGTCATTGTGCTAGGAGCTCATCTTGTTGTTTTGATGAACCGAAGCCCTCCACTTATCGCTGTTCCCTTTGCAGATGCATCGGCTGAATGGCCGCATGTCATTCTGCGCGGCATTTTCGCTCAGCAAGTCGAGGATTTTTACAGGATCATGCCAGATCACCCCGCACACAATGAGGAGGTGGAGCTCAAGCTTCAAGGCCATCTCCTGCCATGGTGACCTGCCGCCTCCGCCTTTCAGCAAGGATCAATTGCCCCTCAAGACCTTTCCGTCTCTCACGCCAAAGAAGGGCGAGGTCGTGGTCTCGGTGAAAGTTGCAGCAGTGAACTTCCCGGACGTGCTCATCGCACAAGGGAAGTATCAGATGAAACCAGAGAAAGAGTTCAGTCCTGGGTTTGAGTTCTCAGGGACCGTGAAAACTACCGGGGAGGAGGTCAAGCATCTGCAGGCTGGAGATCGGGTGATCGGGTTTGTTCCTTGGGGCGCCTTCGCAGAAGAAGTATCCGTGTCCCGGCATAACTTGATCAAGATGCCGGAGGGAATGGACTTCAAGGATGGAGCAAGCTTGCTCATGGCGTACGGAACTTCATACTACGCCCTCCACCATCACGGAGCGATCAAGGCTAGCGATACCGTACTGATCCTTGGAGCCTCTGGGGGAGTCGGGCTTGCCGCGCTGGAGCTGGCCAAGGCTCAGGGAGCTAAGGTGATCGCCACCGCATCCGAAGATTCGAAGCTTGAGCTGTGCAAGGCCCGGGGGGCGGATGTACTGATAAACTACAAGAAGGACGACCTGAAGAAAGCGATGAAAGAGGTACGGCTTCAGGGATCATCAGTGCATGACTGACATTGCAAGCTGTGATGCGTGCTCTAACATGCTCACGAAGGTTGCGCCCGAAGGAGCCGACATAGTCTATGACCCGGTAGGTGGAGATCTCACCGAGACAGCGCTGAGGAACGTCAAGTGGAACGGCCGATACCTTGTCATTGGTAACACCCCTTCCATTGATGATGCCGCAAGTTTGTGAAGCCTCCAAGGATTTGCATCCGGAGAGATTCCGAAGATCCCTTTGAACATCCCCTTGCTGAAGGGTTGCTCCATTCACGGCGTGTTCTGGGGCAGTTTCGCCATGAGGTACAGAGCTCTTCTTCCTTTGATATCTCCGACTCTTGTCGCAGGGAACCTCAGAGGTTGCAGCAACAAATCAAGAGCATCATGGAGTTGTACCTGTACACCAACTGTGCTTCCTCTTGTTCGCACATCTCACAAGGTTGGCAGCGCTGGAAAGGTTAAGCCGCACGTCAGTGCAGAGTATCCCCTCGAAGATGCGTATTTGGCACTTAATTCCTTGGCGGGCCGAAAGGTTCTAAATCTACTCTCTTCAAACTTTCGGATCCTTTGTGACCGTCGGATTTGCAGGCGACAGGAAAGGTGCTTCTGAAAGTTAGCGATTGACAGGCCTGGTCAACCAGTATAAACTTGTTCCATTGAGCCTTGAAAGAACTTCTTCATCATTACTTTCCGATGCTTAGAGGCCGATGCCCGGCGGCCCCGCGGGCCGGCCGCGCTCTGAGTGGCACCGCCAGTGAGTCCGACCGGACTCCGGGCACTCAGCGGCCAGCGAGTCCGATGGTCCGACGGTCGGCGGCGGCCCGGGCCGGCGGCTCCCCGGACCGAGCGGCCGGGCTATCCGAGGAGCTAAGAGACTGAAAAAAGAGTCAAAGTACGGAATATGCTCCACAAAAAAAAAAGTAAACTTACTTGATACATGGCGGCGGGGCGGAAGTTTGGAAAGAGAGGAGAAGCGGAGAGAGCGTGAGCGAGAGAGAGAGAGAGGATGGGAGGTTGAGAATGAAACACAGCTCCCTAGGGATCGCAAGGAAGCTGAGAGACTCTAGTGTCGTTGCTACATCCCCTGCTCCTCTCTGTTGAGAGCTGGTACAAGATCGGTTGGCTGAGTGGGTTAGCAGCGCGAGGGGAGAGAAAGATGATAGCGGCGATGAGGGTGTACA